TTTTTTGACATTTTGAATGTCTGCATTAGTGCATATGGATTAGCCTAATTCTTTTTAATGACTACCGCATATGGTGTATACCAGAGTTTATTCGATGTGTTTTTAAAAAAATATGTTTTTTATTGATTTCAGAGAGGAAGGGAGTGGGAAAGAGAGCTAGAAACATCAATGATGAGAGAGAATCATTGATCGGCTGCCTCCTGCATGCCCTTTTCTGGGCATGTACCCTGACTTTGACCTCCTGGCTCATAGGTCAGTGCTCAACCACTGAGCCACACCAGCCTGGTCAACCAAGGTCTTACTGATATATATTTGAGTTGTTCCTAGTTTTTGTGCTCTTAGAGATGATAATGGAATGAACATTTATTATCTTGACAGTTCTAAGTACAAAGCTTATTTTTTTGTACTGGCCAAACATCTTCCTCCTAACTTCTACTTATTGGTTGTAAAAACAGTTGCCATCTTCTTCAGACATGGTCTTTTTTTGCCAATGTCTAAAATGTAGTAGTGATGGAACCGAACACTTTTAATTGTGGTTTCACCCAAATGCAGAACATGGGGTTGTCTATTATTTTATTATTTTTCTTAATTGTTTTTTATTGACTCCAGAGAGAGGAAGGGAAAGGGAAAAAGGGATAGAAGTGTCAACGATGAGAGAGAATCATTGATTGGTTGCCCCCTGTATGCTTCCTGATTTTATTACCTCTTAATCCTATCGTGTCACACATTGTTCATGTTGAGTATAGAGTCAGGTAAATCTTTACATTTCGAGTTGGTGGATCCCTGGAGTATCTGATAAAAGCTGTGGACTTGTCACCACTTCACCCTACCCCCTAAATGCATTAACACAATTATTGCTGCAGTTTCAGGTGGTTCTTGGGTCCTCTGTGTTTCTAATTTCTTTATGCTTACTTTGCTGAAGTCATAGATTCTCTCATCCTCTATCAGTGCTGTTACATAGTCAAAAATTAAACCGGAGTGCTCACTTCAGCAGCACATACACTAAAATTAGAACGATACAGAGAAGATTAGCATGGACCCTGTACAAGGATGACATGCAAATTAGTGAAGCATTCCATATTTTTTAAAAAGAAAAAAATTAAACCAGAAATGGTCAGTTTCGCATTTTTTAGTGAGGCTTCTATTGTGTAGTAGTTTATTTGCAAGTGCTGTTTTTATTTATTTTTTAAATAACCCAGGATCAGCCTCAAGCTAGCCAGTCTGTAGTTGAGAAATCTGTCTGGCTTCTAGTCCTCTTCCATTCTTCACGATTCCACACAGATTACAGAAAGCAATTAAACAGCCTTATCTGTGAAGCCTCTCAGGATCCCAGGATGTGATTTGTGAGATCAAATGACTTGAACTCAGTGAGAATATCTAGCTGGTTTTCTTTTTTTTCTCAGCCATCTTGGATTTAAGTTTCTTCTTAGTCATTGTATTTGATCTTCAGATTGGAAAGACTAAAACATTCTTAGCTGAGAATAGAAATAAAATAGGAGTAAGGCTGTTTGTCTTTGTTAATATTATATTAACCACCTCATCCAGGGGAGACTTCAGCTTTCCCTCTACTTTTTACTTTAACCTCTAAACTACCATTTATTCAATATCTGGCCCTTTATACAGTCACAATTCATTCAGAGGCTTTAGCCTTGTTTACAATTTTCTTAAAATTCCATTCCACTAATACTTATTTTATGTGCGTGTGTGTGTGTGTGTGTGTGTGTGTGTGTGTGTGTGTGTTTTTACCATCTGTTGTAAGTAGTTTTTTAACATCTGAATTCCAGAAAGCTTTGTGCAGCACATTAGATTTTTTAGATACTTTACTATTTTCTTCCCCTTATGCAGTCAACATTCATGCATTTGAGAACCTCCAAGCTTTTGAGAGCCTTTACAGTTTCTGATCTTGGAATTGATCCTAATTTTTCTTTTCAATTTGAAATCTGCCTATCCAATATGTGCATCCTTCCCCTTCCTTTCTTGTTCTCCAAACAACACAGCTGCTGGCTGCTTTCTCCAAAGCTTCCTTCTACTGGTATGTTACTAATCATGTATTACTGGTGAGGATTAGATCAAAGTAACAGTTTCTCTCATTTCTCCTCTACTTTCTAAAAGATTGAATTTTTACACAGACGGGAAGCACATCATCTGATGCATTGACTTAAGCTGAGTGACACTTCAACAGATGTACCCTGGTCAGTAAAATAAAGCTAGTAACTGCTATTATTTTTTTGTACAGTACCCTTATGACAGACACCATACTAAGTTCTTTTCACTTATATTATTTTGCTTATCTCCTTTCTTAGGGTTATGAGGTGTAGGTACTATTGTTATCCAGTATGAAGAAATGGGCTTAAGAATGTTGAATTGCCCAAATTGCACAGCTTGTGAGTGCCAAAGTCAGATATTTCCTAAATCAGGTTTTTTTGTTGTTAACCTCACCTGAGGATATGTATTTTTTTCCTACTGGTTTTTAGAGAGAATGGAAGGAAGCGGGAGCGATAGAAACATCGATGCGGGAGAGATATCAATTGGTTGCCTCCCGCATGTGCCCTAACCGGGGCCAGGTATCAAGCCTGCATCTGAGGTGCATGCCCTTGACTGGAATCAAACTCCTGACCCTCAGTACTTGGGACAACCCTTTAACCAGCGAGAAAACTGGCTAGGGCCTAAATCAGAGTCTTAATCACCATACTGGGCTGTTTGACATGGTACTTAATTACTATGCCGGACAAGATTCTTATACTTCAAAACCTGTGTAGTTCTCAGACCACCGGCTGTGCACAGTAGGCTCTTAAATATTTAATTGGAGGTTTGTTTCTTGTTGATTTCCAGGGTATTATTGCCTTTTAGCTCTTATAAATCAGTAAGAAAAGGATGAGAAAATGAGTGAGGCACACTACACTATTAGGCAATTCATAGAAGAAATGAAAAGAAATACTCATTTTTTACTAATCAAATCTTCTTTTAATAATATATATATATATATTTTTTTTTTTTACCGAAAGGAAGGAAGAGAGATAGAGAGCTAGAAACATTGATGAGAGAGAAACATCGATCAGCTGCCTCCTGCACACCTCCCACTGGGGGATGTGCCCGCAACCAGTGTATGTGCCCTTGACCAGAATCGAACCTGAGACCTTCCAGTCTGCAAGCCGACACTCTATCCACTGAGCCAAACTGGTTTCGGCTAATCAAATCTTTTGATGATTTTAGGAGATCCATTTTTTTAAAAACAAGTTTAAGGTAGTTGTTTTTTTAAAATATATTTTATTGAAGAGAGGAAGGAAGAGGGATAGAGTTAGAAACATTGATCAGCTGCCTCCAGCACACCCCCAACTGGGGATGTGCCCACAACCAAGGTAAATGCCCTTGATTGGAATCGACCCTGGGACCCTTCAGTCTTCAGTCTGCAGGCCAACGCTCTATCCACTGAGCCAAACCACTTAGGGCAGGAGATCCATTGTTAAAATACAAGACTCTTGGTGCTCTCCCTCTCTGGAACACCCTTTCCTTTCCCTTCCCCATTTTGATCCTCTAGGTGCATTACTTTTGCCTTTGTCTTTTCCTCTTTTTTTTAAATAACTTGTTTTCTTAGCCCATTTCTTCTGTAGATCACTTTTACTACCTCTGTAACTTTCTAAATAAACTTCCTCTTATAATTTGGAGAAAAATGGCAAGACTCATTTTCTATAAATATATAGGCTTTTTCTGATTGTCTTCAACTTCTTACTACTTTCATAAAGTACCCCCTTGGGTGTTTAAGGCTAGTTTGAAAATCTTTTATATCTAAAGATCTATAGCACTCACTGATGTGCTATACAGCTTCATGCCTGTCAATTGCCTCATTTACTTATTGGTAAATGTGTATGTTTTTATTTCTCCAAATATTTTTCTAAATTCTCTGTGGAAACAGACCACACCTATCCTTTAAATTTTTTTTTCCTTTATTGATTTCTAGAGAGGAAGGGAAAGAGATAGAGAGAAACATTATCGATTGGCCGCCTGATGCATGGCCCCTACTGGGGATCGAGCCCGCAACCTGGGCATATGCCCTGAACTGGTGACCTCTTGGTTCAGAGGTCAATGCTCAACCATTGAGCCATACCAGCCGGGCTTACTCTTATATTTATTTTTAAATCTACCTGTAGCATTATCACAATACTTAAAAAGTGTGCTTTATAAGATCTCAGTAATCATCTTAATTAGGTAGTTTTAACTTAAAAAGTAAAATGAAAAAAATTGACCTTTTCTTATCAACTGAATTCTTTTTTTTAACTGAATTCTTTTTTAAAAAATATATTTTTATTGATTTTTTTTATAGAGAGGAAGGGAGAGAGAGAGAGAGCTAGAAACGTCGATGAGAGAAACACCGACCAGCTGCCTCTTGCACACCCCCTACCTGGGATGTGCCCGCAACCAGTGTACATGCCCCTGACCGGAATCGAACCTGGGACCTTTCAGTCCGCAGACCGACGCTCTACCACTGAGCCAAACCGGTTTCGGCTTAACTGAATTCTTATCTATAATAGCTGATGACACTAAGTCTTTATGTGAAAAACCTACTGAGAATTGTGTGTTTTTACTAACTCACTAATTTAATTCCCCAAAATTTTCAGTCATGGTTGTTCTTACATTGTTCCTTGTGGTTAAGAAAACTATAGTCTTATTTTTCTCTTCTGTGACACCTCTATCTGTCCTTGTAGCCACCACTTGTAGCCCAGGGCCTGACATATAATGGTGATTAATACATTTTAGAGGAATTTAGGTTGTGCCTGGAAAGTAACTTGTTTACTTTTAAAAGTTTGGAAATGTGCATAGGTTATTACAATTATAGATTGCAAAAAACAAATGATAAAAGCTTTAAAAAAAAGTTTGTGATCTTAACAGGAAAAGCAAATTCAGTAAAGTAAGCCTAAAATCATATACTAACCGTCTTAGTGGGTTTTGATGTTATGTGCCATTGCTGTTCTTTTGGTTAAATTTTATTACTTTTTTCTTAGGTTAAGACATCAGAATTTTACAGATACTCTCGACAGCTGCGCTATGAAGTTGAACAAGCATTGAATTACTTTCAGAACATTCACCATCAGCCTTTGTTGGACATGAAATCGAGCCGCATCCGCTCTGCCAAACCCCAAACTACAGTATTCCGAGGAATGATTGGACATAGCATGGTTAACAGTAAAATACTCCTCTTAAAGAAACCAAGAGTCTGGTGGGAACTAGAGGGCCCCCAAGTACCCCTGCGCCCTGACTGCCTTGCTATTATCAATAACTTTGTGTTCTTGTTGGGCGGGGAAGAACTGGGCCCAGATGGTGAATTCCATGCTTCTTCCAAAGTGTTCAGGTATGACCCCAGACACAACTCGTGGCTCCGGATGGCAGATATGTCTGTACCACGTTCAGAATTTGCAGTTGGTGTTATTGGGAAGTTTATTTACGCCGTAGCAGGCAGAACCAGAGACGAGACTTTCTATTCAACTGAGAGATATGATATCATCAATGATAAATGGGAATTCGTGGATCCTTATCCAGTTAACAAATATGGACACGAAGGGACAGTGCTCAATAACAAGTTGTATATCACTGGTGGAATCACCTCATCGTCCACCTCCAAGCAAGTGTGCGTTTTTGACCCCAGTAAAGAAGGGACCATAGAACAAAGAACCAGAAGAACCCAAGTTGTTACCAACTGCTGGGAGAATAAGAGCAAGATGAATTACGCGAGATGCTTTCACAAGATGATCTCTTACAACGGCAAGCTTTATGTCTTCGGTGGTGTCTGTGTGATCTTGAGGGCCTCTTTTGAATCTCAGGGCTGCCCTTCCACAGAAGTGTACAACCCAGAGACTGACCAATGGACCATCTTGGCCTCCATGCCAATCGGTAGAAGTGGCCATGGTGTGACTGTGCTGGACAAACAGATAATGGTTCTTGGAGGCCTTTGCTACAACGGTCATTACAGCGATTCCATTCTCACTTTTGATCCAGATGAAAACAAGTGGAAGGAAGATGAGTACCCACGGATGCCCTGCAAGCTGGATGGTTTACAAGTGTGCAACCTGCATTTTCCAGAATATATATTGGACGAGGTCAGACGTTGCAACTAATGACATCTTTCTCACTTCAAAGCCAAACAAAAAATTGGTTTGTGACAGAGTAGTTAATTGAAAACATATAAGAAAAACCTCACCAGTTTTACTATCAAAGCCATTGGTCTAATAGCATACAAATTTTTCATTCTGTGCTAGCATCCGTTGTTTTCTTTTTTTAGTGGCCTCAAACTCATGCAATAAGTTAGTTCTAAGCACTAGCTCTTGAAACTACTTCCTGAGTCAATTTAATAGAATGATACACTTATCTGGGAAGCTGATTTTATGCTTTAAACATTTCTCTCAGATGTCACTGTAGGAGTCATGCATCTTCTAAGAGAAGACCTGATAAGTGTCACTTGTAATTTCTGTTCCTACCTTGATCTGAAATCTTTTTGAACATTTATTTCTGTCCGTTAGACCTTTTGGTTTTGTTGTTTAAGTTTAAAACCCTTGCCCTTTTTTTGCATGGCTTTTTGCTGAAAATGCAAAAATATAAATTTTCTACAAAGTTAACTTTTTATATTCAAAACACTATTTCTAAGCTGCCTTCTCTTATCTGCATTGTGTTAGTGAAAGCGTACCCATACGTGCATACATCTTATGAATATATAAGGCACATCCTCTTTTATGCGTGGTTAGTATTCTATATTTTTAAGCTAGTGCACTTGCACACACACGGTTTGCCATACTTGTTGAATTTTAGATGTAATGTCTTTTCATGTATTAACATTTTTAGGAAGTTAAAATAACTGGAGTCCTCATTTGGTGTCAAAGTAGTCTATCTTCAGTCCATACTGATTCAGTAATATTTGAACTCCTCATATTCCTGAAACATGTATGGGTTTCTGAAAACTAACATTTTATATTTTCAAAAGTAAACGTTAGTGTTCCTTATCGATGTATGTCTTCTTTTTGAACATGTTTTTCTTTGCAGTCTGTTTAATGTTGCCCTGTTTTTAGTGAGAATTGGAATGATATATGACAAGCCCTGGCCCTGCAGCGTGCAAGCACTTTTAAAGAGAATTTAGGTAATACCAGACTTCTAAATAAAGGCCCCCTAAAAGTAAGTGCAACTTCCATTCTTTATATTCAGTGAGGCTGCTGCATCTGTTATTGAATGGAAAGTAGCAACTTGTGGAAAAGTTGAGCTCAGTTTTGACTTAGAGGTAAGGAATAGAATTATAATCTAACTGGTCATATCTATTTGTTAAAAAAATTTAGCGGCACTGGGATATAAGCCCTCAGCTTTTGTTTGTTTTTTTCTGAAAGCTACTAGCATGAAGGACAGTAACCTCAAAGAGAATGGATGGAGAATAACTGTTTAAAAGCATTTATAGTAAGTGTTTTAGATTAGCCGCACCTTTCAACTCGGAAGGAAAAACAAATGGTTGAAAAAGTTAAGAAGAATAACCAGGGAATGGTTCATTCATATTGATGCCATTTTTCCCCCGAGTAGAGTCTATAGCTGATACAGATTAGATCTACACTGGCGAAACTTGCCAGATTTTAGGATATTGGTGCAATATTGCAATGCCTTCTGTATGGCTGTTGTATAAATTGTCTAGTTTTCACTTTTTTTTTTTTTTTGCTGCTGCCACCACTGAACATGAGATAGAAGAGTGAAGTCATGGAAATGTGAAGACTTTTGTTTTGCAGTTAAATGAGACAACTATTTTTTTTATATTCCAAAATTGGAGGTGTTTGGGTTTAAGAAACAATCAGGTACACAAGTAGTTTTTGAAAAAGAAAAACATTGGCATTGGTTTTAGAAGTCAAATTAGTGTTCTTTCGTATATGAGACTTAAATTTTTATTAAATGATTCATTTGCTTTTTATCACTGTTTTAAAAAAATGAAACTCGATACCATTTTCATTTAAAAATCATTTCTACTCATTTTACTTTTGAAAGCTAGGATTAGCTAAGTCACTTAGTTATTTTTCTAATATATTAGCTGGTTTAGTGTTTTGTATGTTTGCTGCTTGCTTTATAGGAAATAACAATAATGTCTTCATTAATTTCCTCATTGTTGTCTTTTGCTGGAAAAGACCGAGACAGGGTACCCTTCATCAGGCTTTTACACTCCAGTGGTGGTTCTCTTTAATTGCTTAGATATGACTTCATAGCCCTAGTTAAGGTAAGATCTGGGCAAACAGTTGAAGTTCTTGGTTTTCCATTCTAAAGTCAGAAGGCCAAGGTCAAAGCTCATGTTTTGGAAATTTCGTGAAATCGTAACTTGAAGTAACTTTGGGTTCAGCTTCACACTTAAGTCATGTCTGACCTGATGTTAGCTGTAATCAGTTTTAAGCTTTAAGAATAGTTGCAATTGCTTGGGTTCTTTATGAATGTATGAGAAAATTCTTCTGTTTATATGTAGAGCTAATTTAGGTTCTTTTAAATCCATGATAACTTACATTCCCTTTTCAAGTTATTGTTTAATTGCTGAAAGAGATTTATTTTTGTTATACTAAACTATGGAAAATTTTCATAGTTTTTTTTTTTCAAGTTTATTTTTTGAGTGCTTCATTTGGAACCAGTTTTGTTTGTATACATTATATATGTTCAAGATAGTTCTTAAAAAATTCAGTAAGAGATTTGAAACTATTCAGTGCAACTGTTGTGATCTTTGTGTATTATTTTTCACTTTACATTTTAAATGCCAGACTTTATAAAAATAGCTGGTCTTCATTAGTTGCATCTTAATTAGAAATGTTTGTTCTCTTTCATGTTTTTGACCTAAGTTTTGACTTTAATCTGCTTAAAGAAAATTCTTGCACTACAACCTTTTCATAAAACTCAAGATTGTCTCATTGAAGGTTTTGTATTGGAAAAAAATACTACTGTTTTTTTTTTTATTTTAAAGCAAAGCTTAATTAATAGAATTATTAGCTTTTGAGACAGCTTTCTCTGTGTCCTCATTGCTCTGTGTGAGTGTTACTATAATTTGTGAAATTTGACTGAGCCCTTCACTTATCTTTTCTAAAGCAGCACCTTTGGACACCTCATTCTGGGAAGCCTGCTCGAGTCATAGTAAAGGACACACATTTGTATGGGGAGAAGTAAAAATGGAGAGTTTTGTCTTAATTACAAGAAACTAAGCTTTAAAATATTTTATAACAAATTATTTGAGCTGCATAATCTAAACATGTCAAACGTTCAGTGGGACTATTTTTATATATGTATATGTGGTTGTAGGTCATAACATTTCAGTTTATAATATAAATTGTTATTTCAGTTTATAAGCTATCTCTCAAAAAAGGCTAGCTCTTTTGAGAATACATAATTTAAAGTTTTAGATTGAAGTGAAACACAACATAGATAATAGTGAAATTAGATATAATTGAGGGCTATATAGCAGTAAAACTGCTAGTGCCATTTTTTTTTTGTTTGCCTATTATTCATTTTTTGATTTTTTTTTTTGTACTCTGAACATTTTTAGGGATCATACATTTGTTCGATTAGATTAGAGTTGGTTTGGGAATAAATATCTTCAATAAAGAGATTTATCTTAAAAACAACAGTCCTGGGAAATTAGTTTGTTGAGAGTTTATAAAGTCAAATACTCAATAACATAGAACGGAGTAAGTAAACTCATGATTTCCTTTCAGTATATCAGTATAACTTCAATATTAACACGAGTAACACTAAAGAGAATGCCATCAGCTTGGTTTGTTCCCCCTGATATTCTTGGATTTTCTTTTTACATCTTTGGGAACAACTGCGTTAAAAATTTTTGTTCATCAGTATACCAGTAAGGATTAGGAGTTTGCTTTCTGAAGGAATGTTCCTGTGAGGTGGTTGGAGAGGTTATTTTCTACCTAACTTGTACTATATGCCCTGTACCTCCTGGGCATACTTTGTCTATTAGAAAAATATTTTGACCTTTAGGTACATTTTGGGCCAACAGTCAAATAATCCTAGGACAGATTAAAAAATCTTAGAATACTTTAAGGTTTGCCTTTTATACCTGTTTTGAAAGCCTTTACATTTTTGTCAGGTAATTTTTCCCAAGCCGTGAATATAATCTATTCAAACATGTTTATGCTATCCATTCTGTTTTTAAATTGAAAAAAATGTTAAAAGTGTTTATGAAGAAAAGTTTAAATAAAATATTTTTCATCTTTAAAACATACTTCTTTATCTCTTATTATTTACTATCTTTAATCCTTCACTGTCAGAGTCACTCATGACTTGAATAGCATTTCCATTTTGTTTTCCCTTCAACGTGCCAAGGAAGTGCCACAAAGATGTGATCTGTACTGATGCTTTCAGCCACAGATTCAAATGAGAGCATTAGAGTGAATTATTTACACTTACATACTATGGAAATTTTATAATGAAGCCAAGTAATTAAAGTTCCACTAACAGAGTTTTCTAGACTGGAAATACAGAATTGAGAGAAAGCATTTGCAAGCCTCAAGCCTTAGTTTGGTAATTTATAGGTTTACTTTAGCATTTTTGATTCATTGTTCTTATAAAGGCATTTCTAAAAATAGAAAATAGGCAGGAATGAATCTGCTATATCACAAGCACTTGGATTTACATAGGCCAGCGTGTGCCTCCTTTAAATGGCCTCCCGAGACACCTCAGCAAGATTCCCTGGATCCTGGCCCCACGCTACCTCTCTGGGTCTCCCCTCTTTGCCCCCCTCACTTCCTACATGCACTCCATTATGTTGGGATCTTTGTGTGTGAATTTCCAGTCTCAAATTACTTGCTTTCTTTCCCTTCTCCTGCTTCCAAAATGCACTTCTTTTTCAAAGCCCAACTCAAATGCTTTCCTCCCCTCTTGCAACCTGTTCTCTCCCATTGAATTAATTGCTTCGTCTACACTCAATACATTTATAGTTCTTATTTCATTTTGCATAATAGCTGCATATAATTCATTCTCCACACCTAGATCATGGTTTCTTTGGAAGAAAGGACCTTTTTTATTCCTCTTTGTATCCTCATATCTAGCATGACACGTTTTTTACACGATAGGCACTGAGTTCTAAATATTTATTGCAGCATGTGAC